GCCGCCTATGCAAAGAAGCTGAAGAAACAGTGGACCACTTGGTAAGCTGTTGCAAGAAGATTGCACAGACTGATTACAAGCAGCGACATGACAAAGTAGCAACAATGGTGCATTGGAAGATCTGCAAAAAATATCATTTGCCTGTAAGCAAAAACTGGTGGGATCATAAAATAGAGAAAGTCATAGAAAATGATAAAATTAAACTGCTCTGGGACTTCAGAATTCAAACAGACAAGCACCTGCAACATAACACCCCAGACTTAACAATTGTCGATAAGAAAGACAAAAAAGTCTGGATAGTGGACGTGGCAGTGCCTGGAGATAGCAGAATAGAAGAGAAAGAACTGGAGAAGATAACAAAATACAAAGACCTACAAATAGAAATAGAAAGACTGTGGCAAAAGCAAGCAAGGGTAGTACCAATAGTCATAGGCTCCTTGGGTGCAATCCCAAAACAACTGGAGCACCACTTGAACACCATTGGCATTGACAAATTCGCTATTAGTCAAATGCAAAAGGCGGCCTTATTAGGAACTGCTTCCATCCTGCGACGATACCTGTAATACCATCAAACATCCACATCTGCCTATCCCAGGTCCTGGGTAAGGACTCGATAGGTAGACAAAATGCCAAATCCAGTCTGAACATCTGGCTGACTGTGCGATGATTGAGAATAATAATAATAATAATAATAATGTTGGAAGGGACCTGGGAGGTCATCTAGTCCACCCCCTGCTCAGGCAGGAAATCCTATACCATTTCAGACAAATGGCTGTCCAGACTCTTCTTAAAAACTTCCAGTGTTGGAGCATTCACTGCTTCTGGAGGCAGGTTGTTCCACTGGTTAATTGTTCTAACTGTCAGGAAGTTTCTCCTTAGTTCTAGGTTGCTTCTCTCCTTGATTAATTTCCACCCGCTGCTTCTTGTCCTACCTTCAGGCGCTTTGGAGAATAGATTGACTCCCTCTTCTTTGGGGCAGCCCCTGAGATGTTGGAACACTGCTATCATGTCCCCCCTTGTCCTTCTCTTCATTAAACTAATGACAGTTAATAATAATAATAAAAGTAGTAAAGTTGGAAGGGACCTTGCAGCATCCCGATGGTCACGTGATCAAAATTCGGATACTTGGCAACTGATTCCTATTTATGACAGTTGCAGTGTTTGGGGGAGTCACATGATCCCCTTTTGCGACCATCTGACAGGGAAAGTCAATGGGGAAGCTAGATTCACTTAACAGCCATGTCGCTAACTTAATAACTGCGGAGATTCACTTTAAGAATTGTGGCAAGGAAGGTCATAAAATAAGGGAAAACTCCCTTAATGACTGTAGTGCTTAGCAACAGAAATTTTGGGTATTATTGCGGTCATAAGTCGAGGACTACTCCTGTATATCATGGCATAAATGTACATTTATGATATAATAATATAATATAATATAATATAATATAATATAATATAATATAGTATAGTATAGTATAGTATAGTATAGTATAGTATAGTATAATATATAGTATAGTATAGTATAATATAATATATAGTATAGTATAATATAATATAATATAATATATAGTATTATATAGTATACTATAGTATAGTATAATATATAGTATAGTATAGTATAGTATAGTATAGTATAGTATAGTATAATATAATATAATATAATATAATATAATATAATATAACATAACATAACATAATATATAGTATAGTATAGTATATACCGTATATGCCGGCGTACAAGGCGACCTGGCGTATAAGACGACCCCCGTCTTTGTCGCCAGGCCACATTCCTAGAACATCGTCTTATACGCCGGAAACGACCAGTATTTCCGGCGTATAAGACGACTCGGCGTATAAGACGACCCCCGTCTTTGGCGCCGATTTTAACGCTTGCGGAAGTCGCCTTATAAGCTGGCATATACGGTAGTATAGTATAATATAATGTATAGTATAGTATAGTATAGTATAGTATAGTATAGTATAGTATAGTATAGTATAGTATAATATAATATAATATAATATAATATAATATAATATAATATAATAATACAGTTGGAAGGGACCTTGGAGGTCTTCTAGTCCAACCTCCTGCTCAGGCAGGAAAACCTATACTTATATTTATTCAAAGTTGACTGTGAAAAGAGAAAAACGGGAGACCATCAGTTCAAAAAATCTGCTCACCTCCTTCCCATCATCTCTCTACAGCAGAGGTCCCTAACCTTTTGGGCACCAGGGACCAGTTCCACGGAGAGTGGTTTTTCCATGGACCGGGTGTGTGTGTGTGTGTGTGTGCATGGTTTTGTGTGCTGCCTGCATCCTGCAGATGGGGCTTTGTTTGTTTGTGCGGGTCGGTTGCTGGCATGCCACGGCCCGGTACCGGTCCACGTACCAGGGGTTGTGGACCCTTGCTTTACAGGATCGTTGATATCGTTCACTCTTCAGAAAGGATCCTATGTATTTTTAAACTATATTGCAGTGATATTTCCAATGGTTCATATTGCTTGTCAACCATGTTAGAAGGAATCTGAAAGGATTGTAACAGTAATCATAACTGTGGTAATAAATTATTGTTATGATTAGCATATGATGTTGTTACGGTAGCCAGGAGACCACCATGCAAATACAGAATGGTCGTTTGGCTTGCGAAGATAACAGCCCTATTTTAGGAAACTCTGGCGCATTTCTCATGATGCGCCACAAGAGGGCGAGCTGGGTTCGCACCAGAGAGAAAGACGAGTGGCTCTTCTGGCAGCGTCACCCACGCCCCCCTCCCTCCCTGGAGCCACCTCCCAAGTGAGCAACCGGGAAAGTACAGAACCGTCAGGACACTGACTGCCTGCATAGACCACCAACTCATCTCCACACCCAAGTGGTACCTATCCATCTACTTGCACAGAACATGCTTTTGAACTGCAAGATGGGTAGAAGCTGAGGCAAGTGACGGGAGCTTATCCCACCACACAGAGCTGAGGCTCAAACCACTGGAGCTGAGAGCATCTCCAGATTACAAATTGTAGAGAATATTTGTAGCTCAGGTTGTGGTTTTAGGCAGAGATTTGTCCTCCAAGCTTGCTGTTTGGCTCCCGGATGTTTCATTACCAAACTATAACATCTACAGCAGGGTTGATCAACAAACACGTTGGCTTAGAAGCAGTGTACGGACCAATAATCAACAAACACATTGACTTAGAAGCAGCATACGGACCAATAATCAACAAACTCATTGACTTAGAAGCAGCGTACGGACCAATAATCAACAAACACATAGACTTAGAAGCAGCGTACAGACCAATAATCAACAAATACGTTCACTTAGAAGCAGCGTATGGACCAATAAGGAAGCGGGCCATCCGTACCTCCAATCGACAACAGAGCCAACACCCTCCCCAGCTGAATTTCACACTTCACAGTCAACCAATCAGAAGTCACAAGACCAGAATCAATCTTGTGAATCAGCCAGCCATGTGATTCAGTCAGTCCTGTGATTCAACTGAGAACATATATAAATGAACAAGACATTTCATCCCCAACCCCCTCCCCCCGCTGAAGATGTTAGCTAGTTTGGTAACAAAATGTTCAGGAGCCAAGCAGCAAGCTCAAAGGACAAACTTCCACCTAAACTATCTCCAGCATCCTTAAGCCACTGAGCTACCATGCTTCTTTACAAGAATGAATGAATGAATGAATTTTATGAATGAATGAATGAATCAATCAATCAATCAATCAATCAATCAATCAATGTCTCTGAATTATCTGAATTGCTTTCTGCCAAAGATATTTCTTGGGTAATGGGATAATGGGAAATTAAGACAATGATTAAACCATGCCTCTTTATAAAAATGGATGAATGAATAAATGAATCAATCAATCCATCCATCAGTCAATCAATCAATCAATCCATCCATCAATCAATGTCTCTGAAATATCTGAATTGCTTTCTGCCAAAGATATTTCTTGGGTAATGGGATAATGGGAAATTAAGACAATGGTTAAACCATGCCTCTTTTTAAAAATGAATGAATGAATGAGCAAACAAACAAACGAACGAATGTATCCATCCATCCATCAATCAATCAATGTCTGTGAATTATCTGAATTGCTTTCTGCCAAAGATATTTCTTGGGTAATGGGATAATGGGAAATTAAGACAATGGTTAAACCATGCCTCTTTATAAAAATGGATGAATGAATGAATGAATCAATCAATCCATCCATAAGTCAATCAATCAATCAATCCATCCCTCAATCAATGTCTCTGAAATATCTGAATTGCTTTCTGCCAAAGATATTTCTTGGGTAATGGGATAATGGGAAATTAAGACAATGGTTAAACCATGCCTCTTTTTAAAAATGAATGAATGAATGAACAAACGAACAAATGAACGAATGAATCCATCCATCCATCCATCTATCCATCAATCAATGTCTGTGAATTATCTGAATTGCTTTCTGCCAAAGATATTTCTTGGGTAATGGGATAATGGGAAATTAAGACAATGGTTAAACCATGCCTCTTTAAAAAATGAATGAATGAATGAATGAATGAATGAATGAATGAATGAATAAATCCATCCATCCATCCATCCATCCATGTCTCTGAATTACCTGAATTGCTTTCTGCCAAATATATTTCTTGGGTAATGGGAAATTAAGACAACGATTAAACCAAAGCAAATGCATGTCAACCTGACTGATATAATGGAAAACCAGGATGGTTATGATGTTGGGTTTAGACTGGGGAATCCCAGGTCTAGGTCCCATCCTCTGTCACGTAAATTTGGTGGATCCTTCAAGCCAACCACTCTCCCTTTCAACCCCAGAGACCTGGGGAAGTCGCTGTTGTGAGAATACAAATAAGGTGGGATCTCCAGATAAGTTGCTTTGAGCTCTTGAAGGAAAAAAAAATGAGATTCGATGATGTATGAACTAAACACGCCTGAATGATGTTTTGGCTTAGGAGCCTTATGAGGAAAAAAAAAAAAAAGATCATCATTACTTACAGACAATATTTGATCTCCTCTCTGCAGTTCACCACTGAGGTCAGCTGGTCCACCTGCTAGGATGAAGGACACAAAAATGCCTTCCCTGTCTTCTCCTCCTACAATGTTAAAACCAAGCCCTGTCGAGCCCTTATGTAAGACAACTTTCCGAGGCTCCCTGTGAAAAGAAAAGAACATGGCTTACCTACTCATATATCCCAGGCAAAATATTATAGGCCATTAAATAGGTCTTTCCCAAATTCTTTTCAGAATAATATCACTCGGGCCAGTTTCACTTTTTATAAAGCCGCAGAAGCTTATTTCAATACAGGTAGTCCTTGACATAATAATAATAATAATAATAATAATAATAATAATAATGTTGGAAGGGTCCTTGGAGGTCATCTAGTCCAACCCCCTGCTCAGGCAGGAAACCCTATACCAGTGATGGCGAACCTTTTAGAGACCGAGTGCCCAAACTGAAACCCAAAACCCACTTATGGATCGTCGGGTGCCGGGTGGAAGTGGCCCATTGGGTGGGTGTGGCCAATTGAGTGGGTGTGGCCCATTGGGTGGGCGTGGCTGAGGTGGTAACGGCAGACTGGGTGGGACTAAAAAGTTCAATCAATCAATTCCAACTTTGCGAGATCTTTTTTTTCCCGCGAGAAGTTGAAATTGACTGATTGATTGAACCTTTTTTTTTTTTGCACATGGCGGCGGAGGCCTAAAGCGAAAAGATTTTATAAAACCCAGGTGAAGGCCTAGGACTGGGCAACGGCGCACATGCCCACAGAGAGGGCTCTGCGTGCCACTTGTGGCACGTGTGCCATAGGTTCACCATTACGGCCCTATACCATTTCAGACAAATGGCTGTCCAGTCTCTTCTTAAAAACTTCCAGTGTTGGAGCATTCATGGCTTCTGGAGGCAGGTTGTTCCACTGGTTAATTGCTCTAACTGTCAGGAAGTTTCTCCTTAGTTCCAGGTTGCTTGTCTCTTTACAACAGTTCATTTAGTGATCGTTCAAAGTTACAATGGCACTGAAAAAAGTGACCAAAAGACTGTTTTTCACACTTATGACCGTTGTAGTGTCCCCATAGTCCCATGATCAAACTTTGGTGCTTGGCAACTGACTCACATTTATAACCGTTGCCGTGTTCCCTGGTCACGTGATCCTCTTTTGCGACCTCCTCACAAGCAAAGTCAAGGGGAGAAGGCCAAATTCGTTTAACGACCCTGTTACTAATTGAACTGCAACGATTCACTTAACAAATGTGGTGAGGAAGGTCGTAAAATGGGGCAAAACCCCACTTAACAACTGTTGTTGCTTAGCAACAGAAATTTTGCACTCATTGGTAGGAAGTCAGTTGACTTTCGGCCACGACTGTGCTCAAAAGTTCCGTTGCTAAGTGAGGCAATTGTTATGTGATTTGTGTCCCATCTTATGACCTTTTTTTTTTTGCCATGGCTGTTAAAAGTGAAGCACTCCAGTTAAGTCAATCATGCAGTTGTGAATCTGGCTTCCCACATTGACTTTGCTTGGGAAGGTTGCAAACAGCATTCACAGGACCGAGAGACACTGCAACTATAGTAAATACATCCGGATTTGCAAGCACCCAAAGTTTGATCATGTGCCCATGGGGATGCTGCAATGGTCATAAGTATGAGAACTGGTCCTAAGTCTCTTTTTCCCAGCACTGCTGAAACTCTGAATGGTCATTAGACGTTTAGTTGTAAGTCAAAGACCACCTTACTTCTGGCCGATGCATTTTCCTATTAATTCCACCAGGTAAATCTTGGCAGCATTTTATAAAAAAGCCTGAATCTCTTAATTCTAGGCCAGTGGTGGAGAACCTATGGCACGGGTGCCAGAAACAGCACTCAGAGCCCTCTCTGTGGGCAAACGCGCCATCGCCCCAATCCTAGGCCTTCAGCTGGGTTTTATAAAACTTTTTCGCTTTAGGCCTCCGCCACCCTGTGCAAAAAAAAAAAAAAAGGGGTTCAATCAGTCAGTCAATTTCAACTTATGGCGGGGAAAAAAAAGATCTTGCAAAGTTGGAATTGATTGATTGAACTTTTTAGTCCCACCCAGTCTGCCGTTACCACCATGGCGACGCCCACCCAATGGGCCACGCCCACCCAATAGGCCACACCCACCCAGCACCCGACAATGCATAAGTGGGTTTTGGGTTGCAGTTTGGGCACTCGGTCTCTAAAAGGTTCGCCATCACCGTTCTAGGCTTTCCCCCCCTCTCTTTCGTAAGATGTCCTTCTTCCTTGTTCACTGAGCAAATAACAGAATAACAGTGTTGGAAGGGACCTTGGAGGTCTTCTAGTCCAACCCCCCGCTCAAGCAGGAGACCCTATACCATTTCATAAAAATCTATTCTTAAAAACCTCCAGTGAAGGAGCATGACTGCACGGAGATTATTTCGGGGGAAATTGAACAACTCTGAGAGTTTAGAGTCCCAATTTTATATTCCTGGCTCTTCCCAAATGCTATTCCAATGGGGTTTCTAAGGATAAAGCAAATCCTAAGATGCTCTGAATATCTTTGGGGTTCATGCTTTACTCTAAAGGTGGATTGTAGCCTTTCCCCCTTCACTCCAATGCAGCAATTTTGCTTTGATCAGAAAGCTCCCATCGGCACAGAGAGAAAAAAAATCTTTCTTCTCCTCTCAAAACTGATTGCAGCCTGATGGTAACCTTGGCAGACTCAGTCTGCCCCCTTCCTATCGGCAGTCCCACTTCAGATTTTTCCTCCCTGGCAGAATCAATTCAGTTTTTAATTGCATAATTGTTACAGGCAAATGGGACAGCTGTTTCTGGGCCCGGTGCAAGCTTCTTCCTCGACGGAGACACCCCTTTCTGGCAATTACATTTTTTTGTTCCCCCCCCCCAAAGGAAGCAATTGAAAATCAAAATGTTGCACAGGGTGGTGAGGCTGGATGGAAAAAGTCCCAAGTCACCATCTGGCCTCTGGATCCAACAGTCTCATCCACAACGCAAAACCAGCAGGTAAAATGAAACACATGGGATTGAAGTTGCAAGTAGATTGCAATAGATGGCATTGTGTATTGCACACTGATTGTTGTTGACAAATTAGGTCAGTGCTCCCCCTCCCCAACCTTTTGGGCACCAGGGACTGATTCAGTGGAGAGAGATTTTTCCACAGACCGGAGGGAGCGTGGTTTCACGTGCTGCCTGCATCCCGTGGATGGGGCTTCGCTTCTGGAACGCCACTGACCGGTTGAGGACCCCTGAATTAGTTGGAATGTCCCAAAGATGTTTTTGCAAGAGGCAACTGGACTTTCTTTGTTTTTTTCTTGAAGATGTTTCGCTTCTCATCCAGAAAGCTTCTTCGGTTCTGACTCTGAAATACTGAAGAACTCAAGAAGCTTCTTGGATGAGAAGCGAAACGTCTTCAAGGAAAAATAAAGTTCAGTTGCCTCTTGAGAAAGCACCTTTGGGGCAACCATGACCTGGATGACTGAGACTCTCCATAGACAATTAGGTGGAATAGAATAGAATAGAGCTGGAAGGGACCTTGGAGGTCTTCTAGTCCAGCCCCCCGCTTAAGCAGGAGAACCTACAGCATCTCAGACAAGTGATTGTCTAGTCTCTTCTTAAAAATCTCCAGTGATGGGGCGCCCACAATTTCTGGGGGTAAATGGAAAGTAGGACCTTGATAAGCTATGAGGTATAATATTCCAGTACATATCTCCTTTGGTGAGATGCCATCTCAAGTATTGTGTCCAGTTCTGGAGAACATACTTGAAGAAGGATCTAGAGAAGCTGGAATAAGTTAAGAGAAGGTCAACAAGGGTGTTGAGGGAACCATAAACAGGAAGCAGGAAAGCAGATGTCTTATGAAGATGACACTGAAAGAGCTGGAGAAGTTTGAGATGGAGAAGAGAGGATTGAGGTTGAAGATAAAAGTAGTCTTCAAAGAACTGAAAGGATCTCTTTTGATGAAAGCCAAGATCTGTTTCTGTTGTTCCGGAGTACAGAACACAGAATAATAGCTATAAAGGAACCAGGAAACAGGAAAGAAGATTCCAGTAGAATTTTAGGAGAAAAGGTTGCTGACTAAAGGGCAGGGGTAGGCAGCCTTGGCTCTTTTATGACTTGTGGACTTCAACTCCCAGAATTCCTGAGCCAGCCTGGGGGAACTATGGCCCCTTCATGACTTGTGGACTTCGAATTCCTGAGCCATCACGGGGGAAACTTTGGCCCCTTCATGACTTGCAGACTTCAACTCCCAGATTTCCTGAGCCAGCATGGGGGAACTATGGCCCCTTCATGACTTGTGCACTTCAACTCCCAGAATTCCTGAGCCAGCATGGGGGAAACTTTGGCCCCTTCATGACTTGCAGACTTCAACTCCCAGAATTCCTGAGCCAGCCATGCTGGCTCAGGAATTCTGGGACCTGAAGTCCACGAGTCATAAAAAAGCCAAGGTTGCCTACTCCTGCTATGGGGGATGGTGCTCATGTCCGTTTCATGACCAGACATTTCCATGGTCATGTGTCAGCATGATGTCATGGAGCTTTCTTACCTTCCCACCAAAATGGTACCTATTTATCTACTTTGCATGCTAGGTTGGCAGGATCTGGGGTGAGGATGGGAGCTCACCCTATTGCGTGGCGCTGGGGTCTCAAACCTGGGCTGCCAGCTTTCCAGCTCACAAGCTCAGAGTCTTAACCACTGAGCCACCATGCTGCCGGAAAGAAGATTGGGCTAGGTTTTAAATCTGTTTGATACTTTTTTGTGGGTGTGACTGTTATTAGGAGCCGAGGTGGTGCAGTAGTTAGAGTGCAGTACTGCAACTACTTCTGCTGATTGCTGGCTGCCAGCAGTTCAGCAGTTCGAGTCTCAACGGCTCAGCCTTCCATCCTTCCGAGGTTGGTAAACTAGATAACTATCGAACTGTGATGGATCACTAGGCAAAAGAAGGGATTCTTTTGATGATGGTTAGTTTCCTACAGGCAATAGTTAAGAAACCATCAGCCTTGGGAGGAATATTTAGAATGAAAGAGGAAGCAGAGCTGGCGCAGTGGTTAAAATGCGGTATTGTGGTCTGACTCTGCCCACTGCCAGCATTTAATGCTGATCAGCTCAAGCCTTCCATCCTTCCAAGATCGGTAAAATGTGGACCCAGGTTATGGGGAGGGGGGCAATATGCTGACTCCGTAAACTGTAGAGAGGGCTACATTCAGCGGTATATGAGTCTACCTCAGTGGTTCTCAACCTGAGGGTCGGGACCCCATTTGGGGTCGAATGACCATTTCATGGGGGTCGCCAAACAATGCAGTCTGCCATTTTTTCCCCCTTTTCCTTAGCTGTACTACTCCCTTTTATTCCATTGGCTTTTGAAAGCCAATAGAATAGACTCTCTTGAATAGAGTCTAATTCTGTTGGCTTTCAAAAGCCAACAGGAATTGTCCAGGCTGTCTCTGCCCTGCTGAGCCCGCCAAAAGTCCCATTCTGCAAACGGTGCTGCACCAGTTGAGTAGTCCCCGACTTACGACCGGTTGAGTAGTCCTCGACTTACGACCGGTTGGGGGTCGCGGCATTAAAAAGGTTGAGAACCACTGATCTAAATGCTATTGCTATTGCTATTAAGCAATGAGAACAACAATGTCTCTAATCAGTGGTCAGAAGCGGTGACATCAATTCCACTAGTTTGAAACTATTCTTATATATTGAATAGCATGGATTGCTATCAAATATTGCCAACACATGCACAACGTCAGCAGGAGGAGTTGATAGAAGGGACAATATCTCAAAGATCAATTCTTTTGTTAATCATCCTTTTGTTTGTGGTTTCATTTTAGTTAATCTTGACTCTTTGTGTCTTCGGGAAATATCCTGTAGGGTTGGGTGTTTTTTGCTTTTTTTTTTTTTAAAAAAAAAACCATTTCCAGAAGTGATTTATAGGAAATTTCCCTATAGATTCCCAGTCTAACCTATACATTCTAGATATTATTGTTTTTTATTATTATTGTTTATTATACTCGGTGGCAAAGTCAGCTAGATATTCAGTCTGGGTTTGCCATTTTGTCCATCTATCGAGTTCTCCCCAAGAGTTCCAGGACCACCCTAAGAACAGGCAGATGTGGATGCTTATTATTATTGTTTTATTTATTTTTATCCCACCTTTATTGTTTTTAATAAATAATTCAAAGTGGGGAATATATTTAATACTCCTTCTTCCTCCTATTTTTCCCACAGCAACGACACTGTGGGATGAGTTGGGTTGAGAGAGAGTGACTGGCCCAAAGTCACCTAGTCAGCTTTCATGCCTAAGGCAGAACTAGAACTCAATCTCCTGGTGATTGGCTCCAAAGTAAGCCAGCTGGCTTTCATGCCTAAGGCGGGACCATAATTCACAGTTTCCCAGTGATTGGCCCAAAGTCACCTAGTCAGCTTTCATGCCTAAGGCGGAACTAGAACTCAATCTCCTGGTGATTGGCCCCAAAGTCAGCCAGCTGGCTTTCATGCCTAAGGCAGGACCATAATTCACAGTTTCCCAGTGATTGGCCCAAAGTCACCTAGTCAGCTTTCATGCCTAAGGCGGAACTAGAACTCAATCTCCTGGTGATTGGCCCCAAAGTCACCCAGCCGGCATTCATGGCCTAAGGTAGGACTAGAACTCACTGTCTCTTGGTAATTGGCTCAAAGTCACCCAGCAGGTTTTCATGTCTAAGGTAAGACTACAATTCACAGGCTCCTGGTGATTGGCCCAAAATGAACAATTCTGAATCTTTTTCTTGAATACTAGACAGATTAGGGAACCGTGTACACACAGTCTTAACCTCTTAAAGAAAAGAGGCAGCATATGTGATATAATAAATTATATTCAGGAGGCAGAGTATATGCAGATTCAATGGTTATGAATGAAAAAAAGAAGCTTAAACAAGTGTCAATGGCAAGGATCCAAACTTTATAATATTGGTTCCCTCTTACCCTTCTATTGACATGGTCCTCTGGATATTCACGGTGGGAGGCTGGGTTACAGAACTATGCCTGGAATGACTGCATGGAAAGGAAAAGGAAAAGGAAAAGGAAAAGGGAAAAAAAGGAAAAGGAATTAATAAAAATAGTATGAGGTGGGGTTTTTTTTGCTCATGGAGATTCATGGTCTTATTGCAACCAAAGTGGTTGGATCATCTAAAATAGCAGGTTGTAGATTCCCATATGGATGCCCATGGAACAATTGTGCATCCAATGAGATTGAAGAGAACAAAAAACATAAAATAGGGCAATGGCAGTTGAAGCTGATGCTCTGACGTAATGCAAGTCAAAGAACACTTTTTGGGAAATAGGGTAATCATGTTTGATGTCTTGAGCATGAAAATGAATACCTCTGGCATTACTTTTTCACCAGGAATGTACAGAGATGTATTACCAAAAATGTCAGTTTATGGAATAACCATCTGCCCATCCATCAATCTATCCACCAACTCATCCATCCATCCATCCATCCATCCATCCATCCATCCTTCCATCCATCCATCCATCCATCAATCAAATCCATCTGTTGCTTTATCCATCCATCCATCCATCCATCCATCTATCTATCCATCTACCTATCCATCCATCCATCCATCCACCTATCCATCCATCCACCTATCCATCCATTATCCACCATCCATCCATTCATCCACCGATCCACCCATCCATCCATCCACCTATCTATCCATTCACCCATCCACCACCCATCCACCATCCATCCATCCATCCATCCATCCACATCCATCCATTCATCAATCAACATCCATCTATCCCTTCATCATCCATCCATCCATCCATCCATCCATCCACCTATCCATCCATTATCCACCATCCATCCATTCATCCACCGATCCACCCATCCATCCATCCACCTATCTATCCATTCACCCATCCACCACCCATCCACCATCCATCCATCCATCCATCCACATCCATCCATTCATCAATCAACATCCATCTATCCCTTCATCATCCATCCATCCACCCATCCACCCATCCACCACTCACCCATCCACCCACCCATCCATCTATCTACATCCATTGGTTCATCAATCAACATCCATCCATCAATATCCATCCATCCAACCAACCAACCATCAATCCATCCATGCTTTCTAAAGGAGTAAACAGCAATATTTTAGCTCCATCTAACTCTTGGCTAACATTCTGGCCAAACCTCTCCAGCCTGTAAAGTAGATGAATGGGAAACCACTAGTAGGGCTGTAGATGAGACTGGGGAGAAGAACAAAGGAGCCTAGAAGGAGTGCATAGTAAACCAGTTCCATACTGTTAATCGGAAAACTGGATTTGTCTACCCTGTATAATGATTCAGAATAGAGCTTTGATTGAGGGACATTTTACTTTATCCCTTAATTGTAGCAGCATTTCAAATATACAGTTATCCAGTGTCCAGAAATAAAACAGGCTTGCGGTGAAGATAACCCTGCAATTTTACCTTGATGGCATGTGTCAGTTTATGAATCTTGAATATTTTTAGAGCTTTTAACACTTGGGCTTTCTTTTTTTATCAGATCACTCCAAAGTGCAGACTCAATATTATAACTACAAGATGAAAGGTATAATGCACAGCCACTCAGGTCCCTTTATACAATGGACCTACTTGCTGAATGTATTCATTTTCCAAGTTCACACAATGCATTTGAGCCATATATTGGCTATATACGTTGGCTTTGTATAACATGCCAAGGCACACACAGATAGTCCTTGACTTACAACCACAAATGAGCCCAACATTCCCATTGTTAAGCAAGACAGTTGTTAAGTGAGTTTTGTCTCATTTGACAACCTTTCTTGCCGTAGTTGTTAAGTTAGTCACATGGTTGTTAAGTGAACTTGGCTTCCCCCATTGACTTTGGCTGTCAGAAAGTCACAAAAGGGGATATATGCCAGTACATGCCAGTTGCCGAGCCTCCAAATTTTGTTCACATGACTACGGGGAGGCTGCAATGGTTTTAAGTGTGAAACATGGTCATAAGTCACCGTGTTCAGTGATGTTGTTAACCTCAAACGGTCACTAAACAAACTGTGGTAAGTCAAGGTCTATCCGTACACATAAAACAATTAAGTTTAACACTCAGTGAAGTGGGCATGAGCAAATGACTGAAACTTACCTGATGGAGCATGTTGTGTGAACTCCACAATAAAGAACTTCTGGGCTGCCTCTACCCAATATATTAGGCTAAAATGTGGGTCATTCCTTGGTAGCACTGTGTATTCTATCAGCCCAGGCAGTGTGGCTGGGTACGGTTCAAGAGATACATGAACGCAGGTCAATTAATTCAATAAATGTCAGGTATACAAATTACAAGGTGATGTGTTTGGGTGCAGATGGCTTTAAATTACTTTTGTGAGATTTCTGTGCTCTGCCAAAGGCCTGATAAGGAATTCATGTCTAAGACAGATTTCTGTGGATGAAGAGGGAAAAATAATGTACAGTGGTACCTTGGTACTTGACTCTTTGGAAACTTATCCAATTTGGTATTCAATGCATCTTAATGCGAACTCGATCGATGCACAAGTGAGAATTTGTCAGTGTCGGCTGCCTTGTGACTTATATTCCTTATGGGGAAAAAAATTATTTGGTGCTGATTGTTTTGGTATTCATCACGCTCCTGGAATCAATTAGGGATAAATGCCGAGGTACCACTGCTAAAAATCAAATTGGACTTCTGGTGGCTACACAGAGATGCTTATAAAACATAGAATAGAATAATAAGTTTGGAAGGGACCAGTGATGGGATTCAAATATGTGAACCACAGGTTCTCTGCGTGGATGCCGCTTCCGGAAGTCCATTCTGGGCCCGGGCAACAAAAAATTAGCTATCGGTTCTGCTGAAGTGGTGCGAACTGGCTGAATCCCACCACTGGAGGGGACCTTGGAGATCATCTAGTCCAACTCCCTGCTCAAGCAGGAAACTCCATAGCATTCTGGACAAATGACTGTCCAGTCTCTTCTTGAAAACCTCCAGTTGTGGCCACTATTGTCTTCTCCCACAATTTTTTTTAAAACTTCCAAGTCTAATCTAGAGTCCTGAAATATACTAATGGTTTCCCATTCAGGTATTCACCAAGGCTGCTTCGCTTTTCAAATTCAACAAAATTCTACTCTTAGCAAAAAGCATTTGTGGACTTCGAGGCCTTTTCAAGGGCTCCTCTTAAAACACTCCTTCAGTCACCACATCGTTTTGCTGTAATCTAACACAATGTAATTTCTCTCTCTCTCCCCCCCCCCCCTTGAAATATTGAAAGAACCTTTGGCTTTTTATTTGAACTCAAAGCGTTTCCTATCTCGGATGTAAAATATGTCCATTGAAGTTGTTAGCCCATCCTTGGTTCCGCATTTTGTTAAAAAATATTGCTAGTTATTTTGAGATCTTTGTGGGGTGGGGGAAGCATGCACACTGATTAAACGCAAGGTGCCTTAAAGAGGAGAGCAATTATAATGACATCTGTGACAGAAAGCCCAGATGGACCAAATTGAGCTTAGTCTACATATATGTAGATGGCATCACATCATGCCTAGGTTTACAGATCCGTGCAGATTAATAGCATGCTAAAACACAGCTACCTATAAATATTAGAAAGAAACAGAAAACAAACAAACAAACAACAGCCACCAGGAGAGAACGGAACGCAGAAATAAAGATGGTGAATGAACGAACGGAAAATCAGCATGAAATAATGGGTCCTGGGGAATTATAGCTCATATTCAAAAACCAAATTCTAACATCATTCTAGGCTAAGGCTCTAATTTCACCTTCGCGGCCCCCCTGGAGAGGTGACTGCAGCCGCTCTTGAGATTCGTTGCTTATTAAATTGCAGCGGAGAAGCTAAGCTCAGTTCTTTTCTTTAAGGCCTGGAAGGGTAATTTTATGAAATTCGAGAAAGCTTCATTCCCAAATGTGAATTAATAAGAATAACTTTACTGAGGTTAGAATCCTATGCGGCATGACGACACCCGCTCCATGAATATAATAACCAACTTTCTCTAAAGGATGCTGGGAGAAGTGGTTTGGAAAAGTATAAGCCTATAAAATAAAGTAAAAAAAAAAAACGCTCTCTAAAACACCGGTGGAGTGAATGGAATTGTAGAGATAGCTGGGGATCGGAAGAGAGAAAAATAAATTAATGATGAAGGAATCGCTTCCTGCTTTATTCGGTGTCGGTGGGAAACCGGTAGATAACTATTGAACTGTGACAGATCACTAGGCAAAAGAAGGTCACAGTAAGGAATCGCCAGCCTTGGGAGGAGCATTTACAAGGAAAGAGGGAGCAGAGTTGGCCCACTGGTTCAAATGCAGTATTGCGGTCTGACTCTACCTACTGCCAGAAGTTCGATCTTGACTGGCTCAAAGGAGGCTCAGACTTCCATCTTGACTTCCATCCAGGTTGTTGGGCAACAATATGCCAACTCTGTAAACTGCTTAGAGAGGGCTGTAAAGCACTGTGAAGCGGTGTATAAGTTGAAGAGCTATTGCTATCCTTCTCTGAGTAAGCCTATCTCCAGGATTTTTCTATTAATGTTCACATGTACGATACACAGTCCAGGAAAGGAAAACTTACGTTTTCCTGCTATCAAGAAATAGACCCAATTGTCACCTGTGCAATGTTTGGCTGGGGCGATTAGGTTAGCCCTGTTGCACAAGCAAAATGTGTAGTTGCAAGGATGCTGTTTTGAATGCTGCTCTAAACAATAGGTCCAAACTTGCGTGTCGGGTGTCAGAGGGCTGGTAGGGCCGCAGCATCTCGATGGTTGGCTATGCTCCTCCTTCTGTTAAATGATTTCCCTAGCTTGGTACCACAGTCAGCTGTTTTAGGCCTAACCGCAACTGGAAAGTTCCTGCTTACACTGATCTTGGGAGTTGTACGAGAAATGGAAAAAGCGAGAATATGGCTCAACTTAGATCTACCTTGGGAAACAGAATATCATAGTTGGAAGGGACCTTGGAGGTCTTCAGTTCCAACCTCCTGCTCAAGCAGGAGACCCTATTACCATTTTAGACAAATGGTTGTCCAATCTCTTCATCAAAACCTCCAGTGATGGATCACCCAGAACTTCTGGAGGCAAACTGTTACACTGCTTCTATTGTTGTTCAGCACATGGTCATTAGAGAAGAACGCATCATGGAAACTGTGCTTGGATTGATCCACTAGTTTCCTTGTTGTGGTTCTCTACCACTTGCTCCCAGAATAGGAGACGTCTTCCCCCTCTTTTCTCTTTCTCTCTCTCTCTCTGTGTCTCTCTCTTTCTCTCTCTCTCTGATAGTGAGTTGGGTGGCCATTTGGAACATAAAACATAGAATAATAGAATTGGAAGGACCTTGGGGTCTTCAGGCTTGAGCAGGAGACCCTATGGTGAACCTTTTAGAGACTGAGTGCCCAAAAACTACCTCCACCCCCACCCTGCCTCCTGCCCCGCCCACCCACAGGGCCACCCACCACTTCCATGGCCTACCGCATATCACCCAGGCAGCCCAGCAATGCCATGGCAGCTACGCCCTCCACCTGTGCCCTACAGCATCCACTGTGCGCAACAGGGCGCAAGGGTGGAGTCTTGTCCCCGCTGCCTGGCTGCCGAGCGGGCTGCGCTCAGGGGCAACTCTCCTCCGGGGGGGATGCTGGTGAGAAGGGGGCCGCAGGGGGAGGCGGGGCTGAGGCGATGGCATGCGTGCCCACAGAGAGGGCTCTGAGTGCCACCTCTGGCATGCGTGCCATAGGTTCGCCACCACTGCCTATACCATTTCAGACAAATGGCCGTCCAGTCTCTTTCTGAAAGCCTCTAGTGATGGGGCACCCACAACTTCTGAAGGCAAGTCTTTCCGCTGGTTGATTGCTCTCACAGTTAGCTCTCACAGTTTCCTTAGTTCTAAGTTGCTTCTCTCCTTGGTTAGAAAATACAACTCTTCTTAACTAGAACTTAATAAATCTACGTTTATAGTGATTTAGTCTTCATCTGCTACTTGGCTGGTGAAGCAATAACAGTCTAAAGCCATGATCTTAAATACACATAAGAGGAGGAACCATTTGGGGAAGAACAAAGGTCTACCAAGATTCTGTCCCCCACTTTCTCTTTCAGAATTCTCTCTGCTACCGAATTACTTGCCTCTTAAAAAAAAATAGTCTTCCTTATTGCTCATTTCGTTTCCTTCCACTTTTCATTCATGAGCCCTAGAACTCAGCACAGATGAATGATTTTAAACCTAAGGGAAACTGAAAGGTTCATAACCAAACAACCCAGAGGTAGGTGAGTCTGTAGAAGACTCCAGCTTGAGTCTACAAAAGGCCTAGTGGACATGAAAAGTCCCTTAAAGTGTTCACCTTTTGGAGGTGTCAACCCAGAATTAGATATCCAATTCCATCAAATGCAACTTTCCACCTTCGGTAAGGTCCCACCCCAAAGGGTTCAGATGCCACCAGGGCCCCCAGATCTCCAGACCTTTCTTGGTAGGAGAGATAATGTTTTTCTGATGGTCATCAAGTCAAGAGAGCCTCGGGGAGACAGGCATACTGCGCGGGTGGAATGTACAGCCTATCTCCTCTGCACTTAAGTGACACCCATGCATTCTCACATGTGGAAATGAGGAATAAGCACATGCAGTACCTGATGATTTCAGAGTCAGGGAGCAGGCCTATGTGGTAGTGGGGGTAGGGAGCTGAAAGGAGGAAGCTTTTGTCACACTCGACAGGGGAATAATGTCTAGGAGAAGGTGGCTTATCACAGTATTTGTTCACAGTGCTGTAAACGGGTTCAGGAAGCCTGGTGGTAACAGAGAGACGAAAAGAAGAGATTAGGCTTCTTTCAACATGCAACGACACCATCGATTGCACAGCTAACTGTATTCGGAGGCATGCAAAGAAGGCCGACAAGAAAAAGGGTTAGATACACAGAACTCCTGAGAAGTGACGGCAAGGCTAGTCACAACAATTGAGAGCGCAAAACGCACAGTACTGTACACGAGACAGCCAGAGGAAAGGAAACTGGTAACACAACCGTGGTAGAACATTCAGGCCTTGCCTTGCCAGCTGGGCTCAGAGCTTTCTTCTTACCTTCTGGAACCCAAGAGGAGAAAGTTTATCCCCACCCCGAAATTTCTTTGCTTCACCAGTGCATTTAAACTGAAAAGTTAGACACAAAGCTTTAGCAGCCAAAGGAAGAAAATTAAGAACACACCATGAGGGTCAACAGTGCAGATTGGCGCTCGGTCGTCCGAATTTCGAAGGCTCTTGAGTGTACATTTATGGGTGATGCACTCACAAGTTGTGGCCAACTGACATATGAATCCATTCTCTACAGTGGCTCATGCTTTTGAGAAGAGTAAGGATACAGGAGGTCAAACAGGTCCAGAGCTGGCCTGTCAGACAGGAGACCAGGTCACTCAGGATAATCTCACGTTAGAGCTGTAGAGCAATTCTTCTCTAGAAAAGGAACAGGCTACTGTAGAACCAGAACATCATTTTCCAATATTTAAAATGGATAAGAATCGAAAATGAACAACACAGAAGGCGGGCAATAAAATTGAAATATTAGCAGATATTTAAACTATTCTTTCTTGATCTTGGCTTTAGAAGGGACAAGGTTCCAACATAGGATCTGAGAGCACAGTAGCAGATGGTGGCCATCTGCTTGGGACAGGTTACATGATTTCAACCAGAAACTTAAAGATGAAGACCGGAACATCTGTTACATTGGGCTATCAGCTCTGGGCCCTTCGCTGACTCCTCACAGCTCCTGTGATCGCCCATCGCCAATTGCACACTGCTCCTGCAGCACCATTGCTTCTGCTTGTCACCCGATTGGCTAAAGGCCCCGGTCAAATAGTGTCTGGGCAAATGGGCCGGGCCGAAGGGCGAGGGATGGAGGGCCAGGGGCCCATTGGCCGTGGAGAATGGCCAAGGGAGGGCCAGTGGAGAAGGAAAGCTGGTTGTAAATGGGCTGAGGCATGTGGCTGGGGGCGAAGGAGGTGTGGTCAAGAGTCCGTGCCTAAACATCCTATTCTGGAACTAAAACAAGCAGGCAGAGCTGCATGCTAGATCTTGATGTTATAATATGGCATGCTAGTCTTAGACAATCATCGCACCAAGTCACCATTTATGATTAGGGCTTCCTCATGCTGGCAACTGATGGACTGTGCAGTCTCCTCGTTTTTCAGAAACAGGTTTCAAAACCCAGGCAAGGAATGCACATCTACAGAGGACTTATATTCAGACAACCCAACTTTATGGGTTGGCATTTCCTCTACCTTTTATTGATAAAACTGAGCGATGCGAGGATACAGTGTGCCTAATGGTGGAAGAACCGACGTCTTATTTCTGGAGCACAACATATTAAAAGCAAAATAACTTTCTAGGATATGAAGAAAAAAAACAATAACCCTGATATCACCAAGCTATTTCTTGGTCCTTGAAGATTTCCTTTTCGGAGAAGTCTTCAATAACAGGGAAACAAGCCACAAAATCTTAGCAACTGTGATGGATGGAAGGAATGCCCCAAGAAAACTTTCATTTTCCAAAGTTCAAAGCACTTCTGGAAACACAGGATTGAGAACCAACAACAGGGCTGATTTTCCCAAAAGAGTTTGGTTAAGAAGCGCCAAAGATCTTTGGTCCAATGCATTTTAATTTTTCAAGCATTATACTTGACGGAGTCTAAATTGTGTCTATGAGAGGAAAAGCTTGGAAATCTTTAGAGGATACATGCACTGGGACTAACGGGACTAACTTCAGTAGGTTAATCTTTTCAATAGTCTGCAGTCATAATCATCAAAGGATAGATAGTTGTACTGGTTCATTTTACTCTATCAGGCAGTTATTCAAACATCCATTCTATGTTGTTTAAATTCTTTTGAACTTTGGTTGAAAGCTACTGTGACAAATTATGTCACGGCACATAGATTTTGAAAGGATTTTACTCTTATTTTCCCATCATCAACAGCATTTTTTGTTATTCAACCTTCTTCAACCTAATGTCCTTTTTTGATCTTTTTTTTTTTGCATACCAAACACATCCTCTGTGAATTTGAATTAATTTGTGTTCAAAATATTTACAAGATGCTACGTTGGGGGAAAGCTGACTGAATGAAGCTGCCATTCTAGACAAATATATCGCCAGGCAATCAGAACCACTTACGTGAATAGGCCCACGTAAGATATTCATTCTTGATTATCTATACAGATAGTCCTCAACTTACAACAGTTTGTTTAGTGACCGTCCGAATTACAACGCCACTGAAAAAAAGTGACTTAGGACCGTTTTTCACACTTACGGCCATTGCAGCATCCCCATGGTCATGATCATGTGATCAAAATCCGGACACTTGGCAACTGGCATGTATTTATGACGGTTGCAGTATCCCGGGGTCATGTGACCCCCTTTTGCGACTTTCTGACAAGCCAAATCAATAGAGGAAGCTAGATTTGCTTGGCAACCGTGTGACTAATTTAACAACTACAGTGATTTACTTAACAGAGCGAAAAAAACAACTGTCTCACTTAGCAACAAAAAAATTGGAGCTCAATTTTTATTGTAATTTGAGGACTGCCTGTATTACAAGTCTTGCTAGACTGTCTGCCTTCTCTTGGAAAATAGCAATAAAGACTTAAAGGGTTTGAATTCAGATGTTTCCTCCCGTGAACCAACTCTTAAGCTGTCCATAGAGTTCTACTAGTTATATCTGGAAGCCAGTCCTATGAAGTCCCACGATATATTTGTCCAGAGTTGTAGCTTCCATCAAGAGGACATGTTCCTTGTTTGTAAGGAACATGCTTAGGTCTGCACAATTATAGCAGATGATGGGGAATTTCCTAGCCATGCCCCCTAATTGATCTATAGGTTTTTGTTGTTTTAAGAAAAATGGTTCTTGAGTTACTTGGATTCCATGGATACTTCCATACGGATTGGTATCAGTATGGAAATTGTTTGCCCTCCCCATGGGTGTCTACCAGCGAGAGGAAGGGGAGTGGCGGAATAACCAAAGAAGCATGGTCACATTGCAACACAAAATCCATCCCTTTTGTACATGCATTGTGCCAACTCATGCATACACATGAGGCAGAGTTTGCATAGTGATTCCGATTAATAGAATAACAGGTCAATAGAGCTGGAAGGGACCTTGGAGGTCTTCTAATCCAACCCCCTACTCAAGTAGGAGACCTTATACCATTTCGGACAAGTGGTTGTTCAATCTCTTCTTAGAAACCTCCAGCACCCACATCTTTGAAGGCAAGCTGTTGCAAGCCATCCCACTGATTAATTGTTCCAACTGTGAGGAAATTTATCCTTATTTCTAGGTTGGTCCTCTCTTTGTTAGTTGCCATCCATTGCTTCTTGTTCCGTCTTCAGGTGCTTTGGAGAATAGGTTGAACCTCTCTTCTTTGGGGCAGTCCCTTAGATATTGTGAGACTGCTATCGTGTCACCCTTTAGTACTTCTTTTCCTTAAAATGGACATACCCAATTCCTGCAACCTTTCTTCCTATGTTTTAGCCCTAATCATATTTGTTGCTCTTCTCTGCACTCTTTCTAGAGTCTCAACATCTTTTTTTTAATATCGTGGTGACCAAAACTGGACGCAGTATTCCAAGTCTGGTCCTAGCAAGGCATTATAAAGTGGTACTAACACATTACATGATCTTGATTCTGTCCCTCTTTTAATGCAACCTAGGACTGTGTTGGCTTTTTTGGAGGCTGCAGCACATTGCTGGCTCATAAATTTTGTCACTGACGACAGTGTCAGAGTCTGTAGATAGCTTTGGTGGTCTCTCATGCAATTACTAACCAGGCCTGGCCCTGCTCTGATTCTTAGTCCACACTCAAGTTGCCAATTCCTTCTATTTAATGAGAGAATTTTCAACTTACATAGATTTTATTTTAGGGCAAACAGTATTGGGATATGCAAAATGATGTGGTTATATCTAAACATTGCACTCTCACCAGGAGTTGTATGGATTTGATCATTATGTTTTTGTGGTATAATCGAAGAGCTGAGTGCTGCTTAACTGGTTTCATTTAAAATCTGAATTTAACTATGCTTGACGATTCCTGATGCAGTATAGTGAGCTTCTCAGCCAACTTCCTCAATAGTATTGATTAGATCTGTTAATTAGCCACTAGTGTGCAGGATGTGTGCGAATCAAAAAAAAAAAAAATTCAAGATGTTAGTCACAACCATGTAAGCAAGACCATTTCCTTTCTTGGGTGATGCCTTTATGTTAAAAAGGAGAGGGATTGCTATTCTATGGCTGTAACTCCCATCTTGACTTTTTGACCTCTACATGGATGCGCCCCCCCCCCGTGAACAGACTACGTTTACGTGATACCCTAAGCTAAGAAACTCAGTTAATTATCCGTATCTGGCATTGCATCCTCCATTATATATGGGTTTTTAAGCAAGCTTGATCTGGATCCAAACTGGCTTCCATTTTAGCTTTCCAGCAATTGTATCTTACAGTACGGCTAAGATTTGGTGGACATTAGCTTCCTGGTTCAGTGATTGTTTCATATTTGAATAATACAATAAGCCATAACGAGCTGTGAAACGACAGAAGGCCTTCGTAAAACAAAAAGGTAAGACATCAGAAGGCCCAAATTCATTAATTGTGCATTTTAGCTCCCTGTAAAACACTGGTGCAAAGATAGGAGTTGTACAGTCTGAAAATAGGTGAAAATAGATAGGTGAAAAATAGATATTAGGTGAAAATAGGTGAAAATAGATATTATCTGGAGCTGATAGGTGAGAATATCTGTGGCTCAGGGTTGAAAT